GTACTGTGGAAAATCTGGTGGTTGGCACACTAGACACGACGAAGTCAATGACATCATTAAAAGAAGCCTTGCCTCTGCTCAGTGTCCAGCGGGGAGAGAGCCCCGCAACCTACTGAACCGTGACTCTGTTAGCTTTGCCGGCCGACCAGACGGAATCACACTGCGACCGTGGAAGGGTAGCAGACAGTTGGCATGGGACTATACTTGTCTATCCACCCTGGCAACCACATACATCAACCTCTCTGCCGGCACAGCAGGAGCCGCGGCGACACGCAGAGAAAGAGACAAGTCAGCTAAGTACAGGCAATTAGATCATCGGTACAACTTCGTTCCAATAGGGTCTGAGACCCTAGGCCCATGGGGAGAGAGTGCAAGAAGGTTTCTTAAGGATCTTGGTTCCAAGCTCATTGACACCACAACAGACCCTAGAGCAGCAAGTTTTCTCTTTCAGCGCCTCAGTGTCGCAATCCAGAGGGGGAATGCCCGCTGCATCCTCGGTTCCTGCCCGGCGTCGGAGGAGTTCGAGGAAATCTACAGCCTCTAGGAAGCGAACTTTTTTGTGTGTCCTCTTAATGTTCATTTTTGTATAAAATCAAATACGTAACATATATATATATATATATATATATATATATATATATATATATATATATATATATATATATATATATATATATGTCGTACCTAGTAGCCAGAACGCACTTCTCAGCCTACTATGCAAGGCCCGATTTGCCTAATAAGCCAAGTTTTCCTGAACTAATATATTTTCTCTAATTTTTTTCTTATGAAATGATAAAGCTACCCATTTCATTATGTATGAGGTCAATTTTTTTTCCTGGAGTTAAAATTAACGTAGATATATGACCGAACCTAACCAACCCTACCTAACCTAACCTAACCTATCTTTATAGGTTAGGTTCGGTTAGGTAGCCGAAAAAGTTAGGTTAGGTTAGGTTAGGTAGGTTAGGTAGTCGAAAAACAATTAATTCATGAAAACTTGGCTTATTAGGCAAATTGGGCCTTGCATATTAGGCTGAGAAGTGCGTTCTGGCTACTAGGTACGACATATATATATATATATATAATGTTTCAGATAGCTGTACATCAAAACACACGTCACAAACAGACAGTAATAATTACGTAATCTCTCTCCATCAGAGAAATGAAGCACAAATGTCATTCCTCCCAAAATCACAAATCTGATTATTGTGCAGAGCGGCTCGTCAAAATAATAGGATTAAATCAGGCAATGGCTGCAAATAAAATATAATCCTATTAAAGACGATTAGAGAATCCCGTAGAGCGAGAATAATGCCTTATTATAGCCATAAACTGAATTGGCATTGGATTGGTCTTGGGGATTTTTTTGAACTATAAGCGAGAGTAAGAGACCAATCAACTCTGTGAAGGAACCCGTAGGAGATTGAGATTAAGTAATTAGGGTCATGAATCATCAAGCATTAAAATACATATTCCCGTACGAAACATGTATATCTTTCCTCAAACATGGTGGCTTAATTTTCATTTATGCATCTCTAAGGTTGTCAGTGACAATCATCACCTTGGGTTAAGAAGTTTTAATGGTCGTTAGATGTTACAAAAATAAAAAGACAACGCCCACTATGATTGAGGAAAGGATGTACAGGTTTTGTAAATGGACTGAGCATGGAATGTGGGTTGAGAGAATTGAAAGACAAATGGAATACATGAATTTTAATCCATTACCATAGTTTCAGTGAGAGAATGTTGAACGGACCAATATGTCAATGCAAAATATGAATCGTATGTTTCATAAATAAAGAAGGAAATAATTGTTGCGCGAACACGGTCTGATTTTTTTTTTTTTTTTTTTAGATATATACAAGAGTTGTTACATTCATGTACAGCCACTAGTGCGCGTAGCGTTTCGGGCAGGTCCCTGGAATACGATCCCCTGCCGCGAAGAATCGTTTTTTCATCCAAGTACACATTTTACTGTTGCGTTAAACAGAGGCTACAGTTAAGGAATTGCGCCCAGTAAATCCTCCCCGGCCAGGATACGAACCCATGACATAGCGCTCGCGGAACGCCAGGCGAGTGTCTTACCACTACACCACGGAGACGGAGATTTGAGTAGATGGTACGTGAAAGAGTAGATGAAGCTAGTAGATGACATGCGAGCCTCTCTCTCTCTCTCTCTCTCTCTCTCTCTCTCTCTCTTCTGACTCTCTCTTATTACTGGGATAATATACGAGACAGAGCGCTGCTAATAGAGCCCTGTATGATGACTCGCTTCGCTCTCTTCCCTAAGGATGACGCCTTAACGAGACGAGGGGCTTCATCTGCTATCATGACCCAGAGTGCAGATTACAGCTTATGAAGCCTCTTATGAAGCCCACCTTCTGAAAGTTTACTCATTCCAGGGACTGTGATATCAAGGGGAAACCTCCACCCCTATTTTTTTTGAGGAGTAAAGGGGGTTACTCTACTGTTGTTCAGTTGAACAGTTCAACTGGCTCAAAATTCCCGTCGTCGAAAATATGAAGGACGTATAGGATAATATTGAGCTCCTTGCTAAGAGACGAAACTATTGATCTTCCATCAACCAAAGTCGTCTTTCATCCACTTTATGTTCTTAGTGTCTCAAATGTCTTCTAAGGTCTTTAATGAAAGGGATTCAAAGGGCGCCAAACTCCGGCAAACTAACGGCATCAAGTTTCCTGCATGGTGGAAAAATGCAGTTGCTTCCTCGCATTGCTATCAACGTGAAAGCAAAATACCAATTAGAATTTTAATGGCTTGTGCGACTCAGAATTTGGTGTTTGATATGAAGATTTGGTGGCATTTTTAGAACTGTTTAAGTCCAACTACTTGGACTGGTCGGTATAGAACGACGGTCTCGCTTCTATTTGCAGGTCGGCGTTCGATTCCCGTATATCCAAGTGGTTAGCGGGGGGAAGGGGGGGAAGACATTTTTCTTTCCTCTCCTACCCTAAATATCTATCCTTCTTAAGTGCTATGTTGTCGTAGTGGCTTATAGAGCTTTCTTCTGATACTTATTAATACCTTAGAACTGTATTAGTCCTACTTTTCATTCACTCTTTATCCATCTTCATTCATTCCTCCCCCCTTCATTCATTCCTTTCCCCTCTTCATTCATTCCTTTCCCCACTTCATTCATTCCTTTTCTCCCTTCATTCATGCCTTATACCGGCTACTACATCCTGTAATGACGTGTGAAGGTCGTAACCACAATAACCCTCAATAGTGACCTTAACCCGCGCCGCCCCCCACAATAAAGGTCAAAATGTCCTGGCCAGAACAATGGCTTCCAGCCCTAAGTTGTTAAGTGAAGGAGAAGACTGAGAGCCAGGCAAGTAGCTCTTATATCCTTCTGATTCCCAGCTCTATCCTGGATGATATGACGGTTGCCAGATGTATTATATATATGTATATATATATATATATATATATATATATATATATATATATATATATATATATATATATATATATATATTATATATATATATATAAAATAACTCCTCTCCTGTGAAGGACTCGAACCTTAGAAAACCAGGTGCATCACGCATTCTGACATAACCAGTACGGTAACCACTTAACCATGACAGATTGTTAAAAGGATTGAAAGTCGGGAGGTATTTCCCCAACATTTCAACCTCCCCAACAACACCAGTCAATGACAAAAGATCACATATTCGTTTTCATCATATCAGTCACATTTAATGGAGAAAACGCCAGCGTGAAATATACGACTAAGGTTCGAGTCCTTCACAGGAGAATTATTCTTTGTTTTACATGTAACTTGTGCGTTTATGCAAGAGTGTCGTATATATATATATATATATATATATATATATATATATATATATATATATATATATATATATATATATATATATATATATATATTTCAGGGTCGCGTTTTCTCCATTAAATGTGACGCATTTTCAGGGGTAATTATTAAAGATGGGGTGTTTAGGAGGTGATGGGGTGATGACCCCACCAGGACCAGCTGGTCCTGGTGGAGTCATCAGCTTGTTCTGGTGGGGTCATCAGGTCCTGGTGGGGTCATCTGTTGGTCCTGGTGGGGGTCATCAGCAGGGGTCGTGGCAAGCCAAGGCCGTATAGCCCCGGGCGTCATCACCACCAGGGGGTCCGCAGTAACTCTCTACAAACCAAAACAGAAGAGTTTCCTTGTGGCTTTCCACCTCCTTTACCGTAAATGTTCGTCGTTCCTTTCCCGCCTTACTCCACCTGCAGTTTTCCTGTGAAATATTTAAACTAGTAGCTGCGATGTTCCTGTGGAGGATGCTCAGGCAGGTCCTGAGAGCCAGCTGGGATGCTGAGGCAGGTCTTGAACCAGCTGGGAAGCTGAGGCTGGTCCAAGGAGCCAGATGGAAAGCTGAAAAAGTTCCCGAGAACTCACTGGATGCTTAAGCTAGTCATTTGAACCTGCGGGCAGGTCCTGAGAGGCAGCTGGATGCTGAGAAAGTTCCTGAGAGGCAGCTGGATGTTGCGCCAGATCTTCAGAGGCAACCGGATGCTGCGCCAGATCCAGAGAGACAGCTAGATGTTGAGCCAGTTCCTGAGAGGCAATTGGATGCTAAGAAAGTTCCTGAGAGGCAGCTGGATGCTGAGACAGTTCCTGAGAGGCAACTGGATGCTAAGAAAGTTCCTGAGAGGCAGCTGAATGCTGCGCCAGATCCTGAGAGGCAGCTGGATGCTGAGAAAGTTCCTGAGAGGCAGCTGGATGTTGCGCCAGATCCTGAGAGGCAGCTGGATGCTGAGAAAGGTCCTGAGAGCCAGCTGCAGGATACTGAGGCAGGGAAAGCACTCTTATGTCCGCTGAGCAATTGGAAGGGATACGAGGACATGGAATAGGGATTAGGGAAGGGGAATATCAGGAGAAACCTTTTTGAAAGGTGCAGGATAAAAATTTGGGATGAGACTGAGGAAAGGAATGGTGCCCATTCACTTGGACGGTCGGGAATTGAACGCCGACTTGCATGAAGCTCTACCAGCGCTCTACCGTTCACTCCAAGTAGTTGAGCAGGGATAGAGATAAGAGGTCGTAGTGAAGGAACGATATCCAACCACTTAGACCACGGGAATCGAACGCTGATTCAAAAGTAAGCGAGGCCGATGTCGTACCGATCAATCTGTACAATAAGAACGGCGATAATTCCTTCGAGAAGGCGAATATCCAACCAAAATAGTGAGGGCAAATGACAGAGTAACCAAGATGGCTGATGAGACACCGGACAGTGAGGATATTGATCCAAGGAACCACCATAAGAGATGAGGACATACCACAATAACATGCCTCAAAACACCTTATCCTCACTTTATCCTGGATAATCTCCTGAGGTCCAGTCACTGAAGACGGGGAGATTTCTCAACATTTTCTTCCAGGACTTTCAAGTCTATCAACTTTGTCCACACCTGACAACTTTTCTATTAAGTTTATCTCTAAGTTCGTGTAATTCAGAGTCATTATCTGCCTCGACACTTATTCTATTGCCTTTATTCATTTATTCGTTTCATTCTATTTTCGTTCTCCTTATATATAAATATATATAAATATATTATATAACTACTTAATGTTGAGAATTCGTAATATGAAAAGTATTTTTGGCACAAGTTATGTAGAACCATTAAATGTTTTTAATACCTGTTAAATATACCTTAAATATTATTTAGGTATAAATATTATACCTTAAATATTATTATTTTGCAAAGAAAAAGACAAGGTGTACCCCACACTTGGTGTGTGTATAGGCGAGTTTACTTTCATACTGTGGTAAGTCACTTGTATGGCATAAACACCAGTATTCCTCTGTACAGTGTGTGTATTATAAATAATATATATATATATAAATATAAATAATATATATATATAAATATAAATAATATATATATATATATATATATATATATATATATATATATATATATATATATATAAATATGGTTCCAACCTGATTAAACTATGCCTTCAAGTCCCTGTCATAATGCTTCACTCTCTTCTTTCGTGCTAGCTAGAGGCTTAAGACCCGTGCTGGAATGTCTAAAAAAAACTTTCGTAAAATCGACACGGTCTCACTTTTAGTCCTTCTCAATTATTTAGTCGCTCCTTTGTTATAATTTTTTTAAATTTTTACGTATTATCTTTTTTCACATTTTTCACTGAAAATAAATTAGACCAGACAATAAAAAAATATTCCCTCGATTATGAAATTACTTATTATGAATGTTGATGAAATAAATCACTCGTCTCCCAATGGTATTCATAAAATCATTATTAAACATGTTAAATATATATATATATATATATATATATATATATATATATATATATATATATATATATATACATGAAAAATTGCAAATCACGAAAACTTAGCGAGAAATTGCTGCGTAACGAGCTCGTTGCGTGAGTAAGAGGCACTCATCCCTGTGATATATAGCTACGTGTACTTGTAAACGTACGTGTACGTACGTGTATGTGTACTACGTGTAAAATAAAAAAAGGAAGGGGGTGGTAGGAGAAAAGCACACAGAAACTGTATTGGAGGGGATCTAAACATTCCCTCTAATGCGTTATGCGTGGTTTCCTCCGAGGCTATGAGTCCCCCTTCTTCCAGCTAGAGGTGGTACTCCCTTATATGTTTATATATATATATATATATATATATATATATATATATATATATATATATATATATATATATATATATATATATATATATATATATATATATATATATATATATATATATATATATATATATATATATATATATATATATATATATATATATTATATATATATATTATATATATAATATATATATATATATATATATATATATATATATATTATATATTATATATATATATTATATATATATATGTCGTACCTAGTAGCCAGAACGCACTTCTCAGCCTACTATGCAAGGCCCGATTTGCCTAATAAGCCAAGTTTTCATGAATTAATTGTTTTTCGACTACCTAACCTACCTAACCTAACCTAACCTAGCTTTTTCGGCTACCTAACCTAACCTAACCCATAAAGATAGGTTTGGTTAGGTTAGGTAGGGTTGGTTAGGTTCGGTCATATATCTACGTTAATTTTAACTCCAATAAAAAAAATTGACCTCATACATAATGAAATTGGTAGCTTTATCATTTCATAAGAAAAAAAATTGAGAAAATATATTAATTCAGGAAAACTTGGCTTATTAGGCAAATCGGGCCCTGAATTGTAGGCTGAGAAGTGCGTTCTGGCTACTAGGTACGACATATATATATATATATATATATATATATATATATATATATATATATATATATATATATATATATATATATATATATAAATTATATATATACAGGCATACCTCAGTTTAAGAGTTTAATTGGTTCCTGGAGATGCCTCGTATTCCGAAAACTCGCATTCCGAAGCTAATTTCCCCATAAGAAATAAAGGGAAATGAATTAATCCGTTCCTGACTACCCCAAAAACCCCACATCAAACTAAATTTTTATACCTAATTCATCTAAATAAACCATATATATATATATATATATATATATATATATATATATATATATATATATATATATATATATATATATATATATATATATATATATGTATATATATATAGTCACTGGCAGCATGCAATGATAAAAGTCTGTTATTCTAGCACTCTGCTATTTCCCTCAACACCAGACTATTATTCACACTCGGCCCCACAAGTACACGTGGCTATATATCACAGGGATGAGTGCCTCTTACTCACGCAACGAGCTCGTTACGCAGCAATTTCTCGCTAAGTTTTCGTGATTTGCAATTTTTCATGTTCTGCACGTGTTAAATTCAAGTATTAATGGAATTACATGTGAGTTTTGCTGAATGAAAATTAAGGGTTCTTTTGCGCCAATGAAGAGGAACTGCTGAGTTATCTACCAGCTGGCACCCTAGTTGTCAGCAGCTGTTTGTGGTTCAGAGTAGATTTATAATGACTCCAGTGTGACAAGCAGCTGTTTGTGGTTCAGAGTAGATTTATAATGACTCCAGTGTGACAAGCAGCTGTTTGTGGTTCAGAGTAGATTTATAATGACTCCAGTGTGACAAGCAGCTGTTTGTGGTTCAGAGTAGATTTATAATGACTCCAGTGTGACAAGCAGCTGTTTGTGGTTCAGAGTAGATTTATAATGACTCCAGTGTGACAAGCAGCTGTTTGTGGTTCAGAGTAGATTTATAATGACTCCAGTGTGACAAGCAGCTGTTTGTGGTTCAGAGTAGATTTATAATGACTCCAGTGTGACAAGCAGCTGTTTGTGGTTCAGAGTAGATTTATAATGACTCCAGTGTGACAAGCAGCTGTTTGTGGTTCAGAGTAGATTTATAATGACTCCAGTGTGACAAACAGCTGTTTGTGATTCACAGAGAAGCTCTGTAATAACATCAATAACATCAACAGTTGTTTTGTGGTTCACAGAGAAGCTCTTAAAGTAAATTAAGTTCCTATTGTGTTTCTGGTCTCCTAAGACACCTGAAGTAGTCACTTCTCGCTGTATCTTAGTCTATAAGTAATGTAAGTAACATATATATTTACGACAGATTCCTACTAGCAAGTAATGATCTGAAAATTATTAGTTCCTGTCTGGTAATACCTGCGCAAGTGACATTACCCCTTATCAGCTGTAAATATAAAGTCCTTTCTTAGATCTTTCCAAGATTAGAATGACTCTCTCGTTGCAGCGGGCAATGAACTAAGTTTGACAGCTTCCTGCCCATTTATCTACGAGACCGTTTGCAATTCCTTGCAGGTCAGGATGTGCAACAAAATTATGTTTTCTTAACCCCTTAGTTTATTTACGCCTATCCAGATTTCCTTCAAGTTTCTGTTACTCCCAACTTTCACTGCAAACAGGATAAGAAGAATCAGGTGATCTAGGGGACAAGGATAAGTGGAAGGTGTCTCTGGGGACAAGGATAAGTGGAAGGTGTCTCTGGGGACAAGGATAAGTGGAAGGTGTCTCTGGGGACAAGGATAAGTGGAAGGTGTCTCTGGGAACAAGGATAAGTGGAAGGTGTCTCTGGGAACAAGGATAAGTGGAAGGTGTCTCTGGGGAGAAAAATAAGTGGCCATAATACCCATTTCCAGCCATAATATCATTCATGTTATTTACTATATCACCAATTCCAGCTCCCGGATAGCAAACCCATAACCTGTTCCCCCTTATCTCTGGCACAAAAAGCTCTATCCAAATACCTCACCTAGTCCACATGGACTAGGGGAAGTGTGTGTGTGTGTGTGTGTGTGTGTGTGTGTGTGTGTGTGTGTGTGTGTGTGTGTGTGTGTGTGTGTGTGTGTGTGTGTGTGTGTGGAGGTGAAGCACAATCCACGCCACACCAAGTACTTCACTTCACAGACATGAACACAACACACTTCAACACTACCGGGTCACTCCATCACAGTTAAACAGTTACTGCTGGAGTCGACGGCTCATACCTCGCCGGCGCTGATTGCAACAGCGACGTGTTGATCCACAGCAACAAGATGTATATAATTGATCTGAGCTCCGTGTTTTGTTACAGTTACAGCAGCCTCGCTCCTGTGTCCACTACGGGTTCACCATAGCCCGTGCTACTTGGAGCATTTTTCTTCCGAAATGCTGAATCTAAACAACATGTTTCATTCATAAAATCCTATATTTATATATATGTAATTAAATTGAATAGGTTACATCCATAAATATGTATTTATCATGTATCAACAGTAAATAGACAATTCACAGTTTTAGTCTTATTTATTACACATAGGCCTAATTTTCTTGCAGTAGGCCTATGTGTAATGCAAAATGCAATT